TCCCATCTATTTCATGAACAGTGTTAGCTATCTTTAAAATAGCTACATGCACTGCCCACTATTGTCTTGCAACTACTGAGGTTGTAGTTAAATTGGTCCCTCTTTCTGTTCAAGCAGCCTTTGAATAGCTTTGTTAGTCAGGGAAGCAGAAGGTAAATTGTGTCTTCTAGGAGAATGACCACACCCCCAATGTCCAGTGTTCCCAGAAAATAAATAGTACTTTCTTCATTAATTTTAAATAGAGCAGAGTTCTGAAAGCACCTAGTACTTTGGAATCTTCCAGTCCACCCAGAATTAATGTCCATAAACCAACTATGGTGGTCAACAACGCATTAGAGCACTATGGAGAAATATGTCTGTTTAGTTATTATGTGACGGGATAAATAACATGTGTTTATTCACTCTTCCAATAGCAGTTACAATTGCAAAGTTACAGTGTGTGGTAATGCTTAGGAGAGTATTGATGGCTTTGCACACATGGGATTCCCAATTGACGGGACTCATGCCTACTATTGGCCTTCCCCTCCCACCATTAGACCCTAGAATTTATAAACAGTCACAATGCAAAGTCAACAATATGGAATATGGTGCCAGGGTATGTTGTGAAGGCCAAAAGTATAACAAGGTTAAAAAAAGACAGATAAGTTCATGTAGGATAGACCCATCAAAGGCAATGGTTAGGGATACAACCCCATATACCTTTTTTAAATTGCTGTTGGCTGGTATAGAGCCAATTGTTCCATGCTGCTGTGCTGTCAACCTCAACTACACAGAGGCTGGGGGGCCTGTATTTCGCCACACAAAGAGAGATGAGTTTGACTTTTGATGTCGACTTCTGCCCACTGTGCAGATGATGTGGTGGCTGTTAGGGATTAAATCCTATGTGCAGGGTGGCTTTAGCTTCTAATCGCCAAAAGCTGGGAATGGATGACAGGGCATGGATCATTCAGTTACCTGTTCTGTTCATTCCTCCTTCAACAACTGGCATTGATTACTCTCTGAAGACAGGCTTCTAGGTTAGATGGATCACTGGTCCAACTCAGTATGGCCATTTTAATGTTCAAATCCAATCTAACAGTACATTTTCCATGGCATTTTCCAAACTGGTTCACTACAGATCAGCTGCATTCAGGAGTGGCCAGTGTCTAGATGGCACTTGCAGCCATGTAGTTCATGAGTATGGTGTATCACTGCCTGTTACATTGTTTCTGCAGCTCCTGAGTTAGTTCAGTGGAAATCTCCAAAAAAGTTGCCTTCTTTATCCTGAAATTATTTCACTACAGGGCATCACCACAAATCCACAGAATGATCTTTTCCCACCAATTCAGGCTGGTTTCCCAAGCCCAAAAATGGTACTACATACTATGAAGATGCTTCAGGAACTAGTCCTCTGTCATCAATTATTTGGGAACAATGTTCCCTGTAAACAGTGCACTTGTGCCACAGGCCACTCAGGAGAGATTCCAATGCCATCCAGCTGATGAACAGAGTGCCCACAGCTAGGTTTTCTGTTTGTGTTGGTGGTTGATGACAGAGGACCAGTTCCTGAAGCATCGTCATAGTATGTAGTACCATTTTTGGGCTTGGGAAACCAGCCTGGATTAGTGGGAAAAGATCATTCTATGGATTTGTGGTGATGCCCTGCAGTGAAATAATTTCAGGATAAAGGCGGCAACTTTTTTGGAGATCTCCACTGAACTAACTCAGGAGCTGCAGAAACAATGTAACAGGCAGTGATACACCATACTCACGAACTACATGGCTGCAAATGCCATCTAGATGCTGGCCCCTCCATGTAAAATTTGTTTTCACCCCCTTCTGTACAGTATTTACAGAACTGTATGATATATAAAAGGCGTAATATGTTTTTATTTCTACACTTTCATCTTAATGTTATTTAATTAATCTGGTTTGCAATAAATGGTGATTATGTAATTTCAGGATGCCATAATTTCATTCACAGATGGGATAGTTCAAGGAAGAAAATTTTCCCCCTCCAGTTGTTTATTTTCCATATACTATATACATGCACTTGGCATCAATTTTCAGACTATATTTCATAGAATAGGAGTCAAGGAGTTCAAAATTCCCCATCTACCAATTTATATCTAAGATCACAAGAGCACTCAGCATAGATCAATTACACTTATTCAGCATCCTATTTTTCAATTTCCAGAAAGGGAAAGTGTTAAGAATGATAGACTGTTCACTTCAAATAAGAGTTATCAAGGCCGTGGTTGCTAGCATAGACAATTGTCCTGAGGGTAGAGTGAAATGCTAATTGTGAAATGAAGGGCTCGGAATGCAGGTAGCAACCCTGAACCAGGCAGAGTGAACTCAGGAATGTTAGTTTAAAATTTAAATACTCTGACTTTACAGTATTTTTAAGGAACAATGTGCCACTGTACTTAATTTTCTTACCATGATCTTTTTAAAATTTTGTCTTGGGATAAGAAGTCCTACACAATGATCTGGACAAAGCAGTAAGACATTACATAATGTTACACTTCACCCAATATGTTAACACATGCCTTAGGGTACACCAATGTTTCTCAAAGTGGTCCACAAAACCCAGTCCACACTGCTTCCCACAGCTCCCCTTGGCTGCAAACTGGAGCCAATAGGAGCTGTGAGGCTCCGTGGCCGCAGCACTGGTAAGAAAACAAACGGGCATGGCCAGTTAACAGGTTTCTCGAAGTGGTTTCGCAGACTGCTTTGAGAAACACTGGGGTAGATAGAAGTAGAAAAGCCCTGCAAAAGACCACCACCACACTGGATCTTACTATTTCCTAACTTTCAAACAAACTACTTTACAATAAAGCACCCCAGATTCTTAGTGTTAATTCATTGGTGAGCTTGTTAGTCCACACAGTTACATACCTGCCAGTAGAGCAGTTACTCTCCGGTACTGTGCTACATGTAGTGACCAAAACAGATGTCTGCTAACGTGTGTGTGTTGATTTATTGCTTCCCACTTTCAACTAAATGTTCCATAGCTTGCTGCATATCAAATAAGGCACATGGAGGATAGAATTCTCAGGTATCATCTGTCTTTGCTGTTTAAGATGTTAAACATTTCATGGAAATTGAGAGTAGGCTGGTTCAGTCTCCTATTTGTTCTTTCCTTCTCAAGGGGCTACTCAATGACTAAGGGGAGAGGTAAATAAAACTCTTTGGCACTACTGAGTCTGTCTTGGGCAAAGAAGCTCTAGCTCCAGTACTTAGCTATCTTTTCACATTCACAGAAATAATGAGTAAGGAGGAAAATAGCCCGAATAAATATGCCTCACAGTGTGCACGTTAATATTTCATATGACATCTTATTGACAAATTCAGAACTTTTATAAGATACCTTAAAGTTCTGTACAGAAATTCTTAGCAGGAACAAAGTCAAATGACAATTTTAATATACTTTAGAACAGAGTGTATGAATATAAAACACTGGTTTGTATTTCAAAAGTTGCAGGAAGAGAGCCAGTCATTTTAAACAGTCTTCTACAAAACATATGCCAGTAGATTACATAAAAGACACTATATACAATATAAAAGAGCAGAAAACAATCCTTACTGTAAAAATAATTTAAAACAATCTTTCAATTTAAAATATCTCCTATAGCACAAATACATTGTGACATGCAAGAGAAAACTAAACATGTTACATTTAGTGTAGCCAAATAAAGTCTGTCAAAATTTGTACCATTAGACAACATGCCAAATTTTTTTTAGAGGAACACAGAAGGCCATTCTTAATACAACTGACAGTCTCTGAATTACTTAACTGATTATTTTATGTTTAAAGAACAGCTACTATACATATACCAAAATGTAATAAATATTAAAGCAAAATACAAATAATCTACATCTGTAGAGTTCTTTTGGATCAGTGTTGCAAGAAAGTGGTTAATAGAAAACAAATGCTTCACTTACTACTATACTTTGTAATTTTATAAAATATTTACTTACGAAAGCATGGAAACAAATCTGCAGTCGGAAAAAAAAAATTGTGACCATCCAGTTTTAAGGCAGCCCAGCACTTGAAGATACACTGCAAGAGCCAATTTCAGTAGCTGCTTTGCTTTCCAGTACAAAACTCTGAACAAGGTATTTTTTAAACAGGAGACAGAACCTCAAAGAGGCATGCTTGCTGGTTGAGTTATGGTTACATTGTATTTTACCAATTACTTCAGATACCTATGCAGCTAATTGCCAACTTTTTATGAGAAACTAGCTCAAATTATAAGCACTCAAGTATTTGAAAAGAGAACTTCCCCTCCTTATATTCTTCTGAGAGTTTTACAAATTCATAATAGCTTGCATATTAACAACTTGGCAGTTTATCAAAAAAGGATTTATGCAAGGATCTGTATTACACTGATAGATCTTTTATAATAACTTGAAAAACTTCTGCAGTAGAGGACCCAATCTATTTCTTAAATAAAAGCAAATATTTTCATAGCATTTCTTATTGTCTTGTTAAAGTTATAAGCCATTATAGACAATGTCTTATGCCCACAGGAAAGATCAGTCCTCCTTCAAAAATGTTAATTAAACATGATGCTCTTCAGAAAAGGCAAAAACATTTTCAAGTGCTTTCTCTCATTTTATTTTTAACTATCTACTCTCACTTTCTCAAATATACAAAGTAACAAAACAAAAAGTAGCTGCCACAGAATGTCTTGGAAAATGCCAGTGTTTAATAAGAAGATTCTAAAAGAATGAAAGATTTAGCAGAAGCACAAACAGGTTTTAAATAAACCAAACTATTATAAAGTATGAGGTGTGAAAATACCATTCTTTGGTCTAGATTAGCTGTTCCCTTTATATTAGTTTAACATTCTAATGGCTTTTTCAAAACTGTTTAAAAATAATATATGCTGAAATTCACTGAGCAAAATACTGTATACACACTGCCTGATCACACAAATGAACTCAATAAAAGTGAACATAGTGACAATTGCTTAAAGATACTTTTGGTACCTTTTTAAAAAAACAAAAAATAATTAGTGTTAAATGCACAGTTACAGAATTTTATTGAAAAAAGTTAAAAAACTATGCATGAAAATCCATTTTAATTGTTTATAAACATTACATCAGTATGGTTTCCTTGTTCTAAATTCAGAAGTAAACACTCATTCCAACATGCCAAATCTCCTAATGCTGGTGGAAAAGTTCCTGTAACCAGTCAATGATTACAATTTGATGGACAATCAATTCCTGTTGCTTCATTTTTCTGATCTGGTTCATCAACTGTATCTTGTTCAACTCCATCTTCCCCAAATCCAGTCTCCTCTTCTCTCTCTGGAGCCTCCTCCTCCTCCATGCCATTATAGAATTCTTCAATCTCACTTTCGTCTTCTACATCTAAGCTTGGACTATGACAAGAACCACTATCACTACTACTCCCGCAAGAACTAGAAGATATGACATCGTCTTCGGAGTCTGAGTATACCTCAGCACCATGGAAAATGTAGCGATTTGGTGGTAAAAATAAGTACTGAGTATCTGAAATACATTTAACCAATGAAGAGCAATCTGCTTAGTTATGTAAAAAAACCCACTATGCTACAGTGCAATCTTTCTAATCCCAAAACCTTTATCCAAATGTGCAATTTTATGCAAGTATCTAACAGAAACAAGTTATAAGACCATTATAGTCAGGTGCCCTGTCTGTAGCAGTGGTAAATGCCAGATGCTTCATAAGAAAGCAAGGCATTCCCTTTCCTCCCTCTTCACCTAACATACACTTGTTAAATACAAAATATGCATTACTATACAAGAAAAGAATCATCTTTCCTGATTCCCACATATGATCCATTTCAGCCCTGAAGCATGAGGCCAAATTAACCATTACAATATTGGTTTTCAAGGCTTTCAATACTAACATTGATATGCCATCTCATACACTTGCAGCAATGAAGTCAACCATCTCGTATATTTGCAGCAACACATTCAATAGATAACTAAATAAATGTTTATGTAATGTTACATTCTAACTTACTACTCCCTTTTATTTCACTGCCTATTTTTGTAGTCTATCCCTTTAGTGCACCAACAGAATGTATTCACTTTTGCTGAAGCATATGCATTCTTCAATAATTATCCATGACTATCCTTTAGATCTCTTCTCTCCAGAGAAGGCAGGCATATTTAGGAAATTTTCTTAATGTATATTTTCTTATGTTTCAGACATCACCTTCGCCACTCTAACCAGTCCCCTAATGTGCTTTATCCAATTGAAATTTCATATCTTTGGTATGCTGACTAGGGATGTTAAAGACTAGTCGACTATCCGATAAGCATTTGCTTATTGGATAGTCGTTTGACTAGTCGACAGAGGCAGCAAAGGGGGGCAGAGGAAAGGGGTACTTCAAAGTGGCAGTGCCGCACAGTGGCACTGCCACTTTGAAACCCCAAGGCAGCCACTGCACAGCTGATTCGCGGATCAGCTGTGCAGTGGGCTGCCCCTTTAAAATGCTGCCTCTGCACATTTTCAAGGGTAGCTGCCATGGAGCCCAGGCTCAGCTGGGGACTCCCCAGCTGACCCTGGGCTCCTAGCGGCATGAAGTACAGCATGGAGCCCAGGGTCAGCAGGGGACTCAGAGTCCCCCGCTGACCCCGGGCTCCACGATCTCAGGTACTGGGGAAATGCTTCGGGGAGCCTGGGGTCAGCTGGGACTCCCCTAGCTAACCCTGGGCTCCTAGGCTTTGAAATGCATAAGAGCCTCCACCAGGGCATTTCAAAGCAGGCACGCCGCATGCAGTCCAGAATCAGTGGGACTTCCCGCTGGCCCCAGGCTGTACACAGAGTTCCATATTCCTCCTTTGAAATGTACAAGAGCCCCAGCAGGATGGAAATTCCATCGACTAGTCAACTAGTCAATTAACCGCATTTTAACATCCTTAAAGCTGACCACCACTTCCATATCAACTCACTGATGTACCTTTTCACCATTCTGGAGGAGCAGGGATTAGATTCTAAAAACCTTTTAAAATAAGGAGTGGTGGTTTTGATGATATATATATATTAAACAAAAGGGCAAATGTCACTAACACAAGTATGGAGATGTGTTTATAGCTCTTTATAATTAATTTATATAATTATATATCATAGAATCATAGAATCATAGGACTGGAAGGGACCTCAAGAGGTCATCGAGTCCAGCCCCCCGCCCTCAAGGCAGGACCAAGCTCCACCTACACCATCCCTGACAGATGTCTATCTAACCTGTTCTTAAATATCTCCAGAGAGGGAGATTCCACCACCTCCCTTGGCAATTTATTCCAATATTTGACCACCCTGACAGTTAGGAATTTTTTCCTAATGTCCAAGCTA